CGGCGTGATCATTCGATTTGGTATTAGTTTGGTTTGGTTTGTCCGTATTTTGGGATTTATTTTTTAATGTGGATATTTTTTGTTTTTGATTCGATTTTTCGTATATTGATTTTATATATTATTTGTTTTTGTATAATACAATCCGAAAAAGCAGCGTGAAATTAAATGATCAGAAAAACGAACAAAGAAAAGAACACAAAACTGAATAGTATCTCAAATATGGACAACATGATTAGCTAATACTGTGTCTTAAATGCTAGTGAGCGTTTTAGGGGGGACGGTATACAAATATTTTGTTTTTAATTTTAGTATTTTGTTGATATTTTTTTAAAAGGGGGAAGGGGGGATTATTCAACGGAACGTCTGGTGTGACAACTAACACGCACACACACACGCACATAGTTTGTTACTAAGTGGGAGTGAGATGGCCAGCAATGACAAAGCTAGTAAAAAGAAAACATTTCAAAATGAACAATTTTCCAAATAAAATGAAACGCCAGAAATGCAACGAAACAAATGTATCTAAACTTAGGTTACAAGATCAGACAATTTGAATAAAAGAGACTTCATTTTCGATCAATAAAAACAATAATTAAATCAACAAGAAAACAACAACAACAGAGAAACGAAAAGCGACGGTGTGTTTATTTTGTGCAGCAAAGTGAACAGAAGAGAGACTCAGCAAAAGAGAGCTAACGAGCAAAAACAGATTATAATAAGTATATACGTATTTCGACAGAAAGAGCGAGAGCGAGAGAGACGCAATGCATATAACCGAGTAGAGTATAAACGGAACGGAACGGAAATGGAACGAAAACAAACGAAACAATGGAGACGGACGAGAGCCGCCCCAATTCCATTACAAATGAAAAGCAACTCAAGGCGCAACAAAACGGCGTCGCATGGCATCAAAATTAAATGCCGTTCTACAACACTAAAAATAATTGTCAATGGCTTTAAGGCCCGGGCCGAAAAGTTACTTAAAGTTCTGAGCTTATTTTCATTTCTATGCCATCATGGGATCTGTAACTTACCGCCTGCCGTGCGTTGCAACACGGGCGATTGACGTTGAATCTGTGGCTCCGCTGGTGGTTCCAAAATATCTCGATATTTCGACACCATTAGCACCGAAATAAAGTAGACAATAGCAAGCGAGAGGAATTGCGCTTGCTTCGTTTCCTCCTACAATAAACGAAAAAAGAGTGGGATGGAGAGTAAGGAAGCGAGAGAAATTGTGTGAGTGAAAATCAAAATATTATACTGTCCTTGAGACAGAAGTAACTCAACTCACCACATCACGATAGATAACCGCACGCAGACGATTTACGTCCATGTCTTGGAGAAGCTTCTCAGGATCCTTGACGGGTGATAATTGACCGGTGATTGACTCAACAATGTTCTGCAAATAGAAATTTAATTATGATAGTAGTGAGATTTTATAGGAAAAACTCTTCCAAGTGTTGTAAAGTGTTTAAATATTCCAAAAATTAATGGCAAATATCGATAAGGTTAATTTCTAAGGAGGTATTTATTCAAAATTGTTGTGACAACTCACCTTGGGTGACGCTTGTGCGCCGCGTATGAGCGCCTGTAGATGTGCCGCGCCGGGTACATCCCGAGCCAGAGCTCCTACATTGTAGCGTGTTCGCTCCTTGCACTCCAGACAGTTGCGTACGGCACAGGTGCAAACCAGGCGGAGGCACTGACGTAAAATGCCGCCACTGGACATGTTCTTCTCGGCCTCCAGCTCACCAAAGTTGAGAGAGGTGGCAAAAATGAGCACGTCAGCCATGTTGACCAGACGCTGCAGAAATGAGACGGCCACCTCGAGCGGCATGCCCTGTGTGGGCTCAAGAACATCTAGCTCGGACTATAAAGGGAGGAGCAAGGTGGGTTAAGAGATTTGTGAAGGCCGGGGGCTAGTCGATACTTACATTTGGCGATGTGGCGCTTGCTAGCAAGGGCAAGAGCCCACCGCAGGCTATTATTAGATTATCGGCCAGTTGGGAAATCAAATGGACTGTATTGACCACAAAGATGGCATTCTCGCTGGAGTTGACAAAGTCGAGGACGCTCTTGGTGGAGTGGCTGCGCCACACCTGTATGTCCGTTTCCAGTGAGAAGAGCACGTCGGAGAGCAGACGCTGATGTATGTAGGACCACTTGAATTCTGGTATGCGGAATGGTGGGCGCGTCGGCCCCGGACTGAACATGGGACGTGTCGAACCAGACTTGGATCGTTGCTGTTTACCCTCCACTGGGCCGCCAGCTGCATTACCCGCCGCTGCAGGAACGAATGTTGGGGTTAGAAAAAGCCTAGAACTAGATCGATGGCTTCACAACTCACCGTAATGATTGACAAGCACCTGCGCACCGGCTGGTGGTTGCTGATTAACATAGTCCTCGTCATCGTCGCCACCAACAGCTTGTGGATCGTCGTGCAGCTGTTCGTCGATGCTTTTGTTGGAGTCGTCAGTGTCGTGTGCGACGCCGACGTTACCCTCGTTCTTCGGTGTTGTCTGTGTGGTGGAGTCCACCTCTGTGGGCTTAATGCGCACAGGCACCGCGACGGGCAGTTGCTCGACTATCGCTGTGGGCGAGGGTGCAGGTGAGGTTTGTGTTGTCTGCTCGGCAGCCACTGCTTTGACCGTCTCATCAACCAGCGTATCCAGAACCGCACTCACAATGGCTGTTACGTGTTCCTTGGACTCAGGCTCCGATGCAGGCTCGAGCTCCGGCTCCTGCTTCGACTCCGGTTTAGGGTCAGTTTTGGTTTCTGTTACTGTTTCGGCCACCGGCGAAATCGCTGGCTCAACAGCAACAATTGATTCAACCTGTTCTGTTTCATTTGACTGCACTGTGGCCAGCTCAAGGGCTGTCTGAACCACTTCCTCGACAATTTCCTTGGCTGCCGCAGCCAGGCTCTCATTGGCATCAATCTCGGTTTCTGGGATCGGTTCTGAGACAACTGTGGCGGCCTGCATTTCATCAGGTGTTTCGATTTCTGTTAGCTCGTTCGCCTTTTGTGGGGGCAGCTCATTGTTATTGGTTTCTGTAGCCACGGCTTCGGTGGCATCAATGACCTTTTCAATTAGCTGTTCCATAACGTCACGCACTGCTGAAGCGACCATCTCGTCTGTTTGCTCACTCTCTGTCCTCGCGTCGGCTTCGGTTACGGGCAGAGATAGTTGTTCCGTTCTCGTTTCCGGCTCAGGCAATTGCAGTAGGCTGTCTTCGGCCATGGACGAGCTCGAGACGGTAGTCTCGGGACTGATGGACGTGGTTAACTCTTCCGTGGACTCATTGGTCGTGCTGAGGGAGGAGCTGTTCTCGGCCACTTCGTTGGCGTCTGGCTCGGATGTGTGGGTGGCGGTAGCGATCTTGTTATCGTTATTATTTAGCTTGTTCGCTGCCGTGGCGACCGCGTCTTCAGTCTTTTGATTATTTGCTTCGGTGCTGGTCTTGGAAATAGCATTGGACTTAGTTTCCAACGTTGACTCTGTCTTTGGCGTCGCTTCCTTCAACTCCGTTATCGCCTGGGTTGCGGCATTGGCGTCGCTTTGATGGCTGGCACTGCTGGTTATCTCATTTGCATTGACCTCAGACTCGATTTGGGGCGTCGCTTGCTCAGCTGCTTCAGTAGTTTGCTCCTCAAGCGCATTATTATTGTTGTTATTGTTATTCAGCAAGTTCTTACTGTTCAGTAAGGTAACATTATCCTGTTCCAAGGTAGCGCTGGCATCTCTTGCGGCAGCCTGCGCTTGCGTTTTTTTCTCGTTCTTGAGAACACCTTGCACAACTTCGTTAACGGCCAGCTCGATCTCTTCATCCTTGAGCACAGAGGACGCTTCCTGTAGCTCGTCAACAACCATTTTGCAATCGTTTAATGCCGCTTCTGAGCTCTGCAGGACATGAGCCACATGTTGTTCAACGTCAAGTGCATCCTTTTCTGTCGCTAGCTCCAGCTGTTCCACATCATCGCCTATCTGTAAGGCCTCTTTAAGCGCTACCTGGCCGCCCGATTGTGCCGTCGCGGTTGACGGCTGCTTATCCGACTCCTCATTGCTGCCATTGCAGATGGGCGCAGCCTGGAGGGCTTCGTCCGTTTTGATTTGCTCGTTGTATACATCGGAAATGTTGGCTATAACCGATTTGGTCGTTGCTGGCACCTCCTCGTCCGTTGCATCTGGTTCAGCTGATGCCGTTGTGGTTGTTGCAGACGGCGTCGTCGTTGATGTTGCGCAGCCGCATTGTTGTGCCTCTGCTGGGACCACCTCGCAATTTTCTGGCGCTTCCACGCTTTCCAGCTCCTCATCGACGGCTGGTACATCCTCCAGAGAGGCTATAGACGGGGCTGGTTTGACGGCCGGTGCTTGTGCCGCCTGAATTCCAGCACCACCGCCCCCTTGCTGCTGCTGTTGTAGTTCCTCACGCTCCCAACCGCTAATCGTGCTAATTGGTCTCGCCTGACGCAGCGCCGGATCTGTAATGTTGTCCGTACGCTGGCGCTCGTAGTGTTCATACATTTGGGCGAACTGGAGCTTGAACTCCTCGTAAGACACCTTCGAGTGGACAATAGCCAGCGTGTCTACCCAGACACGCCAGCCACCGTACTCGTGCTTAATGGCGTGATGCAAGAGCATGCGGAAAAGCGAATAGACCATATCACTGATCTTCTGCTCTTCAGTATTTTTCGGGTGTATGTAGGCCATGGCAATTAGCCATTCCTGCCAGACGGACATTTGCAGTACGGTGCGTCGATTCTCGCGGTTGCTGTTACACAGCAGTGTCATGTCCTGCAGGAACAGTTTCTTTACCTCGATCAGGGAGTCGGTCTGCTTCGACTGTCGGATGAGCGTGGCCACAACCTTCAGTATCACTGTGAAACAGAATGGGCGGTTGGATGACAGTTAGAATTCCGGCGAATCACCCCCCAAGTCAGTTAATGGCAAAGCCCTAATGGAATAGGGTTAGGTATGTGGTGGGAGGGTTAGGCTACTTACTTGGATTCTCCAGACGGTAATGACTTTCGGGCTCGGGATGACGCGTGTACAAGATTTGCTGTGAAATGTGCTCGGTCATAATTTCGTAGAGCACGTTGTATGTGGGCAGGGACAATGACTCCTCGTAGAGCAGCACGCGCTCCGCTAATAGCGTGTACAAATTGTGTGGCGACATGACGTCGTACTTGCGTCTGCGGAGTTTAAATGAAGAGTAATGCGATGCCAAGCAGCAATGCCGGTTTAGGTGTTTAGGAGTGTGGGTGGGCGCAGAAAACGAGAAAGAGAGAGGGTAGGCGGCAGAGAAAGATAGAAATACATACAAAATTTATGAGTTTGCATTACAGAGCAGTTTGTTTACCCAAACCGAAACCGACACCGAAACCTACCGAATCTGCAGCCCAAGCCCGTCACAGCACGAAACAATGCGTGTAGCCACATAAATGTATGTAACTTTCTTTTGAGAGGTGACTATTTGTATACTATATTTAGAGTCGATTGTGTCGGATACTTCAAATATTGTTTGCCTACCTGAATAATTTTAGTTTTGTTAATTACCTTTCTTTAAATGAACTTCTAGAATACACTCGTACTAGATAATCTGACTTGGTCTTGTGTTTGACTTTTTGTTCGCTTAGAGATTACTAGATGGTCCGAAAACTTTTTGTAATATCCAGCTGTGAAAAAATCTGCAAAGTCAATGCTCCAGGAAGCTGTAGACTTCATGTGTCTTTGTAACGAATGTTTTCACTCTGCTTCTTCTTCAGGCTATACAGGTCTGAAGCTTTGGCATGCCTTCATGTCTTCAATTTAAATTAAAAGTTCGTGTCAACTAGCTTTTTTAATGGATACTCTCCTCACTCCGCTTCTTCTTCTTCAGACTACACAAGTCTAGTCTAGTAGCTGTCTTGCCTTCATTTATCTTTGTATTGAAAGTTTACTTAAAATTTCCTATCGACTTGCTTTTCTTATGGATACTCCTTTCACCCTGCTTTGTCTCAGAGTTTGCTTCGTTTTATACGGAAGCAGGTGAGCAAACAGAACAGCTACAGAATCCGTCTAAATGGCTTGCAGCAACAGATCGGGTGCAATGTCAACGAGTTTTGTATATTTTTGGAAAATTCTGGAACCTGTAACTCGTTTGAACTTACTTGTGTGTGCTGCGAGACAGGAAGAAGCCCAGGAGCTTGAGCGCCTGTAGGCGTATCAATTGACTTTCGGCGGCCAGCAGCTTGAATATGCTACGAACGCCATGCTTGACATCGAATGCAGGTACCATAGAGCTCGGATGCTCGGACATTAGCGAGATAAGCATTTGCAGAACATCGTGCAGGTTCTCGTCCTGTGAGAGATGAACAAGAAATACACAAAGATAACGAATATTAAACAGATGATTGGCATTTATTTAGAGTACGCATCGATTGATATTAGTTATAATATATGTATATGGGTATTTCGTAATATGCAGTTTATAATATTAGGCTCTCACCTCATGCATGGTCGTCAAATAGTTGAGTATGCTTTGCAGTTCATCCTCCTTTACGCCATTGCCGATCATGATCAGCTGCTTGAGGAACAGCAGGATGTAGGCGCGTATGGCCAGTATGTCCTTTTGCGCAGGTCGCGGTCCATCTGCGAGAGAGTGCGGTGGCAAATGGTGGATAATTAGCGAGCTGTCGTCCCTCCTGGTGGGAGCCTCGATGTCTCGTGGTTACTTACCCAATCCTTTCGGTATGATGCCGCTCTTGGCACGCGGATTCACCACCCAGTAGTAATATTTGAGGGTGTGGACCGTCTGAAGGACGGTGCTGACGCGACGCACATTGCTGTAGATCTGTGTATCGCTGAGAAACTCGGTGGCCAGATACGAGTAGAGGCGCGCCTGGACATTGGCGGGTGTGTATATCCACAGTGCTGGGTTGAACAGCACGTGGTCGAGCAGCTGCCACGTTAGAAACGAGAAACAGAACAACTGCAAGGAATTAGTCAAGTAACTTATGCTGTCCTCAGACTCGGCAATAATGCCATTTTATTTCAGTTTTTTCATCATCTTTTCCATCTTCTTTGCAATGATGGGCTTGTGCCATTTATGTGCTTAGAGAAATGTGTGTTATGTGATGGTGTGGTGTGGTGGTGTGGCATGGCAAGTAGTAGTTGATAAACAAGTTCAGAGTATACAAAGGTGCATAGCAACAGGAAAATTAAATATTGTAGTTGTACTTGTACATAGGCAGGAGGTAGTTACGATTAGATAGATAGATAGATAGATAGAAAGTTAAGATAAGTTAAGTTAAGACAGTGGTGGTAAATACTACTAGTTGTATATGTATTATGCAAGTGTTTATCTATACTAATATTATAAAGAGGAAAGATTTGATTGTTTGTTTGTTTGCTTGAATTGAAAAGGCTGCGAATCTACTGGACCGATTTAATGGATTCTTTCACTGTTGGGAAGCTACACTATAGACGGTTAACATGGGCTATATTATATTTGCAAAAAACAATGGAATCCTTACTAAAACGCCAATAATGTAACCAAAGATGTAAAAACATTAACTTAAAAACTCCTGAATAGCATGCAGTTAGCTCATAATCATCCTTGAAACATTACCAGCTTAAATATTAAGGCAATATTATTAAAAAGCCCCCAGCCAAATAAAAGATTACAAATCGATCGACATCGTGGTTAAAATTGAAGACATTTAGATTCAATAAACCCTTCTGGACTGCCGCCACATGAATTGACGGTAAAACTCGGAATTGCAATCATGTTTTTGAGAAACTAAAGCCTTCTAAGCATGTGAAATGGGACGAGGCTGCTTATTAAGGAATTGCAGGACAATTTAAGTGTAGCAAGGATCCATTTGATCATTTTTATGGCTTCAATTTCCGGTAGTCCCAAGGCCAAGCCTTCGAATTAGTAGGGATCGACATACGAAAGCAATGTTTTACGGTATGTTGACCTGCCACGGGTCGGAGCTCCTGAAAATCAATTTATTTTGCTATAAAACATCAAATATCTTTTACAGAGAACCTCTGACCTAATAAAGAATAACAAACAGTTCTAAAAACGAACAAAATCATTAAAACAATAATATCCAAAATAAATTTCACTCCTTCTTAGTAACTCATAGCAAAAAGAAAGGTGTATGTGTGTAAGGTGTGTGTGTGTGTGTGTGTTATGAAATGTATAATTTTTAAAATTTGTGTAAAAATACCCGTGCGAAGCAGAGGCAGGACGCTAGTTTTAAATAATAACAAAGAGTTGTATACATACGTTTACATGAGTATCATGTTGATTGTTGTAGTTGTTGGTTGATTGATTGGTTGGTTGGTTGGTTGGTTCGGGGTATCGGGTTGGTAGTACGAGTAGTAGTAGTATTGGGGTTCGTTTGAATATATATTTATATATGCATGCAGCAAACAGCAATGAACGCAACGTTTGGTTAAAACATAAAAAGAAATTCAATAAAAACAACAATAATAAGGTGAACAACAAATGAACGATTATCGCATTCAACGAGGGGGCGCGGCAGGCAGGCAGCAGGCGGCAAAGAATTAAATTAATTTATCACATCACATGTCTCGCTATCATAGGTATTTGCGTAACTCTAACCTAAAGCTAAGTTACACAACTAAAACTAATTAAAAATATATATATATATATATATATATATATATATACATATGTATATGAATATAACTAAATAATTAACTAAAGTATAGTGTAAGGCAGCTACGAGTACTAATTTTATTGCTTAGCTTAACTAAGCGTCACAAGAGCCCAAATGGCAGGCGACGCTATTGTTATAAACTATAGGCAATGCCAAAAGCGTTTACGAAACGATTTGTACTACAAGTATATGAGTCGGTAGTTCAAATAATTATGCTTGCTTGTGTTTTTTCAATGCACAGTTTATGAGCCATAATTAGTTGAATAACTTGTTGATTGTTAGTTCAGGTTTTGCATTGAAGTGTAAGACTGCAAATGAAGGGATGAATAAATGGAAGCGCAGCTTATTCATATAAGACACTACTCTGATCGAATATCTAGAAGGTTTCTCATTATTCAGGTAATTAATATCCGATAAAATCGCAGAAGTAATAAGTCTTAAGACTCTTAACTATTTAAAGTGTTTTAAACGAAGTGAATGGCTAAGTTTTATCTTCAACGATACGATGTCATCTTCAACGCAAATCTTAGATTTGTAAAACGAATTGTTAATATGAGCCTTTTTTCATTTTTGTAATTTGAAACTAGCTTGATTGTTAGAAGTTTGCTTTACTCCGATGGAGAGAAATTTTTATTGGCTTATTAAATATGTTAATATTTATGCATTAATGCACCATCTGTTCAATAAAATGAATGGTTATTTAGTTAGTAATTTATTTTTATTGATTAAAAGAAACGCTTGGATTTTATTAAATACTATTAACCACTCTCTTAACTAGGTTTTATAATTAAAGTGACAAGTTTTACAAAAATAAAAATTGATAGGTTTTTAAAATCTTTCTCAAAATCAGATAAGAAAAGAAGATTCTCCAATAGACAAAGAAGGATTACTTCAGAGAAAAAAGTAGAGGTAATTAAGTAGCTACTATTTCAGCTTCCAATTCATGTTGGAGTCATTTTTCTCACTTCTGGTATCGAGGGAGAAACTCATGCTTGGTGGGAAGAAATTTCTTTCTTTCAACTAAAGCGCAATGAGAGATGAATGCAGTTTTGAATGGAATGCAGAGATTTTTAAAATTCAGCTTCAAATTGAAAACAAATCATTTTCATCTTTTCTACAAAGAGAGATTACCTTGTTTGTGGCAATGTATTTTTTTTACATTTTGTTATGGTGGCGTTATGGTGGCTTTTTGCTTGCAGATTTAAATTCTGATTTGATAGCCATAAACGCTAGGTATATGGATATTGTTGTTATTGTTGCATTGCAGCAGTTAACAGAAATAACAATGGGAATGCAACATGCAACATCGCACTACTCCTCCATTCTCCCCTCTCCGTCACGCACAAACTGACGCGTGCAACTCGCAACAGAAGTTTCCCAATTAAAAATGTGCACAAGTGTAAAATAAAGCGATGTTGGTAACCGAAAACGAGACGATGAGCGAAGGACGGCTCCCAGCCAGTCAGACAGTCGGACAGCAGCTTCAGGGGGAGGTGGAGCTGCAGCTGGACCTGGAACTGGAGGGGCATTGAAGGATGAGAGGGACGTGGCGTCCCGATGGCGATACCAGCCAGCAATCGCCAACAGATGTCGGCTAGCAGTTACAATTCAGACGCCATCGGGCCACAACAGGCGATGGGCGAATATTTGTAGCTTCGAGCTCAACACGAGAAACACGCAAAAAACTCATGGCATGGAAATTTATTCATTTATGTGGCGCACGTTATTGTTATAGATGCAGGATGCAGACTTCAAGCTACAGGCTACAGATGTGGCTCCCGATATAGATACAGATACACACAGTTAGAGGTACAATAACTGCCGTTGCCAATGCTGGCGTTGCTGCCGACGTTGCTGTTGTATTGTAATTAGTGCTAGGTGGCAGTGATTGTAGTTTTTGTTATTGTTCCCGCCGGGATGGCATTGTGGTTATTGAAGTTGGGCGCGTGTGGGAGCAGTTGCTGGTGGAACTAACAGCAGGCAGTGCACCCCATTCCCCACCCACCCTACAGAGTCAAGTTTCAATTATCAAAATGACAAAAATGGATGCAAACACTGCAATCGCATTAATGATTGACAACACAGTCCTCCTAGCGTTTGCATTAACATTTCTCGTTTTATCCATACAAAATCGTAATATTATTATTATGAGAGAGAATGAGAGAGAGAGAGAAAAGTTGATATAAAATCTCAAATTTAAAGGAATTGAACCGAAATGGTATTGGTTTTGTACTACAAGTAACTAATGAATTGTTTTCGATTCACCAGCCGGCCTATTTAATTTCACAAAATCTGGAATGTGAAGATTAAGAAACATTTCCATTAGCTAGTTTCTCTTTCAGACTTATCGAGAGTAGAAAGCCAAAAGACCTTCTCACAATAAATGAAGCAGAAAACAGCTACTATATCCAGGAAAGTGATATTTCAAGATCAGCTTTCAATGCAAGTTAAGGTTAAGGTGTTTTTACAATAAATTGTAATCAATTATCAACATTTGCAAATCATTTTAAATTTAAATATTTTACAAAATTGTAATGTGAAAATTAAGAAACGTGACCGGCAATTAACTCGTTTCTCTTTTAAAGTTATCGAGAGTAGAAGGCCTTCTTACAATAAATGAAGCACAAAGAAGGTTAAACCAGCTATTATATGTACAAGTAGATTGAAATTTGAAGATTTATAATTGAGATCAGTTCAGTTAAGTTAAGTTGTTTTTACAATAAATAGTTATCAATTATATAGATTTGGAATTCATATTTTAAAGTATTTTAGAACCTTAGAAACTTAGAACATTTATCAAAGACTTTGTTCAACACAAAAGGCTTTAATCAAAAATTGTTTTCATAGCGTATACAGCAAATAGTATTTACTATATACTTGTATTATAAGTAATAAAAACATACAAAATAGATGGTATACTAGTTAATTTCTATTGGGTCGTTCGCTAAGTAATTTCATTTCTTGACACCAGCTGATCTTATGGCATTTTTTCGCAGCCAACTTCACTCTTCACCGCCTTACCGTTATATATTTAAACAGCTGATGTAGTATAGCAGTAAGGCTTTTTTGTAAATAATGTTGTACAATTTTTTTGAATAGTTTAGCATTCTCGGCATATTTTACTGCTTACTCAGTGAACGACCCAACATATGAAAGAAATTTTGCATTCAATTTAAACATAGAAAAATCAGGAAGAATATCTACACAATGTTGAATAAACAAACGATTATCAAACACATTTTATGTCACCACATTAACAAGCTAATCTGGTATAATGCAGATTTATGTTTTTGTATACATAAGCGATGTGACAGCAATAATTTGAAATGTAGATGATTAATTAAATGAATTATTTCTGTTTGAAAGTTAGGCGCCACGGAATCCTATGATGATTATATGATTATTAGCGGACAAACAGACCCTACTACATAATTCCAGTTGTCGATAGAGTGCTATCTGTATATCCATTAGATTCATGGATGAGAAATGTTATTTTTTTATTGCTACTCTTTAGTTAGAAAGAAGAAATGCATTTCTGTTTGCAATTGAAAGCCAAATACATAGGCAAACAATCTTGCATTCGTGAAAATTATGTTTTCATCGCTTTTTTTGCTAGAAACAAAAGAAAAAGCGATGCTGTGCAGATAATATAGAAACTTTTCAATGAATGCCACATGCCTAAATAAAAAAGAGGTTAAACAGATTTTCGTATTTTAGCGAAAACCTATTTTTTCCGATCGTTTATTTTATTTCATTGAATAATCGAGGGTCAGTACTTATCTATGGTTGATATACAAATTACGGATTCATTTTCAAATTACAAGTATTGTACATTTCAGTTAAGATCTGAAAACCAGCGGTTCAAATGAATTTTGAGATACTAATGAACGCTCGACAACAGACATATACATATTACTATATATATATATATGTGTACTCGGATGGATATAAAAATATTTACAACACAACACGCAGTTTAATACACTTGTCTAATTCTAAGTAACTGTACAGTGTTAGAAATCCAATAAACGGTTAAATTCTTCAAGTACAACTAAGATAGGAACAATACACACTCACACACTGAGGAACGAAAATTCTAAATTATAACAGAAATAGTTATGTACGAGTATATTCGAAAACGGAATGGAACGAACGAAACGTCTATATGTACATATAGTTAAGTATTTGGTAGATAGAAATGAGAATTTGGCTTCACCTGGTAGAACTGTTGTAGTTATATTAGATCGGTAGTAGTAGTTGTTGTTGTTGTTATTATTAGTATTTGTTTGTTGTGCGTTGTTGATTTGAAGAAGCATTTGAGTTTTATGAAAAAATTAATATTAATGCATGAAAATGAAGCAGAATTCAAATGAGTGAGGGAGAGAGATAGAGCGCGAAATGGAGACAAAGATAGAGAGAGAGTAAGTGTAAATGAGTGAAAGAGAGAGAGAGAGAGAAACAGACAAAAGACCGTTAAATTGTAATAATTGGTGTTATTTGAGATAGTTTGCAAAATGTTTTGAATTTGATTTTAAAGTCGGCCAAAAATCAAAATGTTGCGCATAAATAAAAAGCCAGAATTTTATTTTGTTGATGTTTTTTTCGGATCAAATTTTGCTTGACATTCAAAGGTTAAAAGGCGAAGTAAAAGCATCTCTGCAAAGTGTCCAATTATGCAATAAAAATTCACAGAATAAATCAAATTTTGCAACAAATAATTAATTTGCGGGTGCCAACAAAATGCGCATGCAAGCTACAATTTAATTATGGAAAAGAAAACCATTTTCATTCATGACAAACGGAGCTCATCATGTATATGTTTTGAGGTCGTATGGAATATCGTTTATTTGAAAATTATATTCCAATCCAAATTGCAAATATTTTCCACTATAGTCATAATGCTGTTCAGCTGGCTTTTAATTTTCCATTCATTTAATTTTATTTTTATTTTTTATTAACATCCTACTTTTATTCATTCTTGATTAATGACAGCATAGGAAAATGTGCTTATTTCTCAAAATGATTGACGAACCAGCTCTAACTATTGCTTTTGTTGCTTGTCGTTATTCCCTCTTATCTTTTATTTCCCTCGCACGCATTTATTTGTATTGCATTGACCATCCATTTATTTATTTATATTTATTGTTATCGACGCTTAAAATACGATCTTGTGTCTGTCCTACTTCTACTTATCGTCACGCTATTATAACAGCGCATTTAGGAGGAATTTATCAAGAATTTATCGTCACGATTTTATGGAAATCGGCATATCACCACGCTTCTTTAGTCTGCTAGAAATGGTGGATTAATTATCGCCACACAGTTATCATCACACTTTTACCACTTTTTAGCTATCGTTACGCAACTACCGCTATCATCGCTATATAACTATGGTGGTCTATTAGCGACACCGTATCTATCGTTTCGGATATAAAGACTCCTATTAATAGTAACGCAATTATGTTAGCCTAGTTACCATCCAGTATAATTATGCTTCTTTAGTTTCTTTAAGCATCCATCCATGCATCCATCTTCACTCATGTATCGTCACGCATTTATTGTTACAGTCACTCTCTTACCATCTCGTATCTACTGTTAAGCACAACTTTGGCCTCGTATATAAAGTCAGGTATGCATCATATTTACGATGTTTTTCCACTTCAGTCTCGTCTGTTCACTATTCCGTACCTATCGTTACGCATCTGAAGCCTCCTATTTGTCGTCACGCGGTTATCGTAAACTATTCAGCCACCATTGTCACTCATTGTCTTCAGTTTCGTATACCCTATCTATAGACATGTAGCATCATCCCCCTATAGATATTTTTCTGTTTTCATCGTTAAGCTTCTACTACCAGCACATTTATCGTAATATTAAATGGCTCCGACATAAAACATAAACATGTCAAACTAAAATGAAACACAGATTTAAACTTCTGTAAAGCCACAAGAGCCGTAAATCAAAACAAGCACAATGCGGGTATACGAGTATATGTATGTATATGTATTGGATTAATAGCATAAGTGCATTAACTCAAAACAGTTGAAGTGCAATTTCAGTAACAGTTTCATATTTATATATGTATGTAAGTACATAAATATATACTTATATATATATATATATTTTTTTTTTTGTTTGTTAAAGCAAATGGTATTTAATATTTGTGCTATTTGTTAACTGTTTATTGTTTACTGTTTGGTTTTGTTTACTTTTTTGAAGGGATTACGCAGTCCCGTGTTCAGCTGTGTTCATACAGGCACATCCACACACATACATACACATCCATACATATGCGCAGGTATGTGTGTGTGTGTTATGTGTGTTAAAGAAGAAGAAGGAGAACAACAACCCCAAAAGGTTGGAGGGGGTTGTGGCGAACGAAAGTAAACGACAGATTCGCATATCATTTGAGTTTGTTGGTTAGTTGGTTGTTTGTTTGTTGGGTTGGTTGTGTGTTTGATTGTTTGCAGAGGTGTAAACATGCCGCAAAAGGAAAAAGAAATATAACAACAACAACAGCAATAAGTGAATTGTGTGTAGACAAGTTAAATATTAATTGTGTTGTGGCCTTCTCATACATACATACATATATTATTTACAATATATGTACATATATGTGTGCATAAAACACACATGCATATACGCACACACAGACGAACATATAAAAAACTCACGATTTGATGCAATTTGTTGGCAAAGTAATAGTAATAGATACACACATACTATGTACGTTGTACATACATACATACTAGTATGTATGCACTTATGCACAAATTAAAATTAGTTATTAATGTTAATATTTGTTTGTTTTTGTTAATCTTTTTTGCTCCTTAACTGGGTGTTCATTCTCATGCATTTTGGTTCATGCCTCAGCTGAAAGGGGGCGGCAGCTACATAGGTATGCGGACGGGCGGTCGGTGGCACGCGGCCTTTAAAACTTAGATCGAACTTAAAGACATACTCGTACACATACATACACGTACATAAAAAGTATATATATTGTATTTTGGTTTAACAGTACATACATAACTCATATTAAATAGTATTACTTATGTTAAACAAGATCGGAAATAAGGAACATGCTGTTGTATATTGCGGCAACAGTGTTGCCACACCTCGCTACTTGCTCAGCTGTTGAACAGCTGACAACAGTCTACAGCGAGCGCGAGCGAGACAAAGAGAAATATATATATGTATATATATATATATATATATATATATATATATATATATATAGAGAGAGAGAGAGAGAGAGAGAGAGAGTGGGAGCGCGAGCACACCTACCTGTTTCAGCAGCAAGTCGCTATTCGCGGACAGGCACGTGACCAGATATTTGGTTAGATTGAGAAATGAGCCGAGCACCTCCAGCGTCAGATGTTCGCGTGAGGAGCGCTGCAGCATAAAGGATATCACCAGGAAGCCGCGATTCTGTATCATATGCTGCTGCACAGTCTGCGATGTCTCCACCAGTTCGCATATGAAGCCGAGCAGCTTGGAGCTGTAATCGACACAGATTGTTCCCGATAATTAGATAAGTGTGGGCGGTCGCACATTCCTACTCCATTCCTTTAACTTACCACAATGTGGGGTCACGCTTTATGTCGCTGATGCCCTCGTGCGCCATGTCCAGTTGTGAGAAGAGCGGAAATAGCACCTGTATGCCCCCAATTGAGTTGAGTGTGCAGTGTATCGAGTGCGTTACCACAGCTTTGACATCCTGTAACGAAAACGATGATTAGACTCGAGCAAAGTGATTGGCAATGCTACCGGAATTGCTGGTCAATACAATTCTACGTTGATGAACCAGACAGCCTCCAGTACCCGTGGCACCTGTTCCTCAGTCGATTTTCAGTCGTTACATTTTCATTTTATGACAACCAATTCCCCATCCAACCCACCCCACCCAATGTTCAGAAAACCGCACGTTCCTTAATATCAAAATTCACCTCAGAATAGCACACAGTGGTACACTGCACAAATTAAAGTGCACCCAATTGATTCAAAGATTTTTATTGAGAACTTGATTTGAAAATTGAAGTTGTTTAAAAATTGTTTATAATTTAAATAAGTCATATATTTTACACTTAAAGCTCCATTCTTCAGACAAACTATCAGCGTTCAATCTACTGTGATCACAATAATATGGATTTCTATAGCTATCATGTTTTGCTTTACTTTTAGGTCGACTTCGACATCGAACATAATTTAATTTTAAACATGAAGTTGTTTAATAATATGTAATATATATTTTACACTTGAAGCTCCCTTCCTCAGACAATCTATCAGCGATTAATCTATTGTGATAAAATTATTGTTAAATTTTTTACAGCTATCAAGTTTCTCTTTAGTCTTAGGTCGGCTTAGATTTCTAAATTGATTTGATAACATCATTTACGGTACTCGGTTTTCGCCTCTATGTGAGAGAAATTGGCCAATTCTTGAATTCCTCAAATATTTCCATCTTCAATAATTAAGATGTCTAAAAATCGTATAAGCCTATTTGTTGGGCAGCTGTGCAGACGGCTTATAAAAAATATATCGCGCCACTGTTCAGCATGTTATATGAAGTCGATATTATAATTGTTGTTGCCTGCCTAGTGGCTATTGCTAAGCTGCTCCTGCCCCTGCCAACGCCACACCTCGGCGCTGTTTATGATTTGTGTTGTTTGCACAAGAAATTACTACAAAATTTATTGAATAATTTTGTGCTGCCTAACGTACTGGACCGTTGCTGCCTGCTGGCTGTTAGCTGTTCGCTGTTGGTACAGACTCCTGGCGACTGCCCTGCCACTGCTAATACCTCTTGCAGCGCTACTGTGGCCAAAGGTTGCCCTCAGGTTCCTATGAACTAATAAGAAATGCCAAGGCATGCGCTCGTGTCGTAAAATGCGGCACGGAATTTATGGACGCGTCAGTGCGGCAACTGAGCATGCACGAGTATGTGTGTGTGTGTGTGTGTGTTTATAGCTTTGGTCCCTGGAAAGCCGGCCCCGCACTGTGTGCTAGCCTGCTAAAAATAATGATGAAGAACCGCACTGCATTGGCTCAAAAGTGATGGTCAGCGGGGCAAATTATTTTTTAAGCCCTTGAATTTAAAAAAAATATCGCATTTTATGCTCACGGCATTCAGTTTTAGATTTCATTTCTAAACATTTATTGCTTTTAAAGAGAACAAATTATAGTTTCTAAAACGATATTAGTGTTGCTGCGTATTCTCATAAGGCATCTGGGACTAAAATTTGGTGTCCGTAGGTCTTATAGTCTCTTAGATATAGGCGATTATACGAATGGAAAATCGGGAAAACCCCCATAGACAGACAGGGCTAGATCGATTCGTCTCGTCATGCTGATCAAGAATATATACACTTTGTGGGGTCTGCCACGCCTCCTTCTGCCTGTTACATTTTCAGCTCCCGCAAACCTAATATACTCTTGTACATTTTATGTACAGAGTATAAAAACTAATATGGCAGGAAAGTCCCTAAAAAACATAAAAATAGCTTGTTGGGAATTATAGGGAAGCACACACAGCCTTAGCGAAAAAACTGTTGAACTTTGCAGATATTATTTTCTGATATGAGGAAAGGAATCTAATCTATAACTAGTCTTTTATTTAAGGCAAAAAGATAGACCATGTTTAAGGCAACAAAACTATTTTTAGAATTGAAAAGAGAAGATAGAAAAGAATGCTCAGCTTTTGTGCTTACAAGTATTTGTAATTACGCTCCATCACATATGATTACCAAATACTGAATAATAATTACATTTACAGCTAACTGTCATACCCATATTTTCGTGTATTTGAACCACTGTGGCTATTCATCCGTTATGAGAACATTGTGTGTTTTTGAGACTTACCTGCAGCATGAGCGCATGGGGCGTGTGGACAAAGTATGAAACATTTCCTTTGGGGGAAGACTGCAAACATAGTTGACCATCGGTTGCCACTGGATTGTACATAAAGACAATGGCATTCGATAGTTTGCCATCGTACAGCACCTGTGCGAACGACAAAAAAGAGAGATGGAACAGAGACGGAGAGAGGGGGAGAAAGGGAGAGGCATTTAAATTAGGCACAGCTTTCACCAAGTCAGTGTTCGAGTATTTTTCGTTGGCTCGTCCTTTCTGGACAATTGGCGCAGTCATGCTTACAATTCATTTTAGCTTGAAGCACGCGCGCACCTTACACACCTCACACAGATACACAGATACACACACGCGCACACGCACACACACAAAAGCATACAAGTATGTAATACTAATGCTGTGTATGTGTGCGTGTGTGTGTGTGTGTGTGGTGCGTGTGAGGCACAAATACATTGACAAATACTTATTTACTACAAGTATATTTGTGTGTTTTGGACGGACAAACAAATACGCAATGCGCCTATACACATACATACAAGTATGTATGTAATTTTATATACTACACTTGGGTATATACAGCAGCAGCATATATATACACAGGCACAGACACAGACACACACATAATGACAATAGCAGAGTTATTATTGTTGTTCTTGTTGTTGCATATTAGCCTCAACCACCTCCCTGGCACCATTTGGGAGCGTTGTGGCGATGGCGGCGCCGGCTTTTGAGCTTCTTGTGGCAGTTGTCTGCCCAGCTTTTCAGTGCTTGGGTGCATAGTGTGTGTCTTGTTATTGTTGTGTGTGTGTGTGTGTGTGTGTGTGCATTAAATGTATGAGCAAACATTGTAGCTTGTACATGGAATGTTGGGCGTGTGTGCATTAGGCACTCGACTCTTCAGCTCCTCAGCGTAGCCGGCGTCCAAATTACTCTCCAAACACATCCACATACACACACACACACAAGTGTGTGGTAATTGCTTCTTAAAATACTTCTTGCGATATTTACAAAATAAAGTAAACAGTACAAAAACAAAGTACAAGCTTGGTCAAATCGGCGATAAAAGATGCGGAAATTTGTAGTGTGCAGGGGGATGTGTTGTTGTTGTTTTAAGCAAGCCCCTAAATTTGGGAGCTACTGGTGAAGAGGGAGCGGGTGTACGAGTGTGCTCTACCTTCTCTTACGGTGCTATGGAGGATTCGAGGCGTGCACTTCTTGCGTTGCTCTAACTTAGCTCGTCGGACGGGGTGGGGTTCTTTCTCCTCCTTACCATAGCGGACACACCACTACAAGAAAATAAGTGCACTAAACAGAAACTAGCAAAACGAACAAATGGAGTATTTAGATTTGTTCCCACAATCAGGACAGAAGCGGACAAACAGACTAATGTAGAGTACATTGCTTCTAGGGTATTAGATGTAGTTATACCCTATTCTGTACCCACCCTACCTTGGCATACCGGAAATAAGAATAATGGTCGGTAGCCCCTATAGCAAATTGATCTTACTTTAAGTTTGGGTTTGGCGATGACATCTTGATTAGTGATGGACCAGCGAAAGTAAAATTACGAATTCATATCAAAGTTAAAGGTATATAATTTATAGTTCAAAAACATTCTCTTATATATATATATATAGGTACATATACTAAATAGTTTGCAGCACATCAGTATCTACCGTATGTAACATTCCAAGAAAAAAGGCTCATATGTACATTATTCAAAAAAAACATTAGAGAAAATTCATTTAAATTTCAACATAAGAAGTGGAATCGAACGTAAATTGGAAATAAGGTCAGATTTGAAAGTATGATGTCAAAAGATCAAATAAAAATGCAAATCACTTACCATGCACTGCCGTCGTTGAGCTCAAGAGGACTTGCTGGCACAAAAAAAATGTTAATGATCTTAAACTACATACATACTTCCTAACTTTAACCTTGTAGTGAGGCGAAATTTAGGTTCGATTACAAAAAAACTAAAGGAAGTTAAACTAAATCATTATTTAAAAATAAAAAAAACAAAACTAATTTTTATAGACGATATGATGCTTAGCATTAGATCCATTACAGCATCATGGTCGCCGCCAGTAACTTTTAGTGGCTTTTTGTGTCGCAGCACAAATTTAATACGATTTATATGGCCACGTTTCTGCCTCAAAGAAAAACTAACATAGAGTAGTATGTATGGGCCTAACACATAGTGGGGAATCTAGCAGCTTGTCTTTGGAGTGGCAATGCGGAGTCCGTTCTTCGGAATCTGGTCACATAAAAAGCTTGCAGTCGTCTATGAAAATAGTGCAGCCATCAAAGGAAACAAGCGTGGAGAGTTTCCGAGGCACTAATACTTGGTCCAGCAAAAAGGGTTTCCCAAGCACGGTATATTATTATGTCCGATTTTAAATCAGCCAAAATGGGTTTCCAGGCACGAGACAGGTGCTCTGCCAAAAGGTTTCAAATCCAGCAAAAAAGGTTTTAGTGGCCCAGCCAAAGGGGCACAGGCGCGAAGCACTGTGAATAAAAGAATTCACTTGACTTTTCTGGCCGACTTGAAAAAACTTCCCTTACCTGGCCAAAATTCACAAACTGCACAATACTGTTCTTCCGAATGCTCTGTTCCTCGGCTTAAATAAACAGGAACCACTTGCACTTAGATGTTGTGTAACAAGAACATGCGCTTTAACTTTTTAAATATATGTGTATGGTATACACGCACAAAAGAAATATTCGTCAGCACTGCTCAAAAGTCGCTGTACTAATGTTCGATCGGCGCGCCGCTAGTTAGCGTGAAGCTGCACTTAGCCGAAGCCGAACTTACTAAATCAACAACAATGCTATGCATATGCGTGGGTGCAATAATAAGATAAGTAACAACGGCATAATCATACGATGCTACGGCTGCTTATCCAAGGTGACCTAAGAGCGCGATAACGTTTGCTAAAAATAAATGCAACACTTGTAAAAGCTTGCTAGACCACCAGCCCAGTAGGAAACTGGACACTACACCACAGTCAAAGCGGCAAGAGTCTTACTAGAGACGTCTTTTACTGAAAATAAAAGAACAGTTTCCCACATACAAGTACGTCACTTCTTTATTTGAATGTCTTTCAAGTGGTAAACGCCTAAGGTTTTCCCTGACTTGTTTACGAGTTCGTAATATGCGGGACTAATTTTGCGTTTAACCTTAGCTTCAACAAAAACAGGGGCAAGCTTGGCATTAAACTTTCTGCCAGCGTTACTCTGTACAAAATTGCGTGCAAAGACAGAGTCACCTACTCGAAGTTGCACGGTTCTGCTGCGCAAGTTATAAATCCTAGCATTTATGTCATGGGATGCTGAAACGTTTTGCTTCGCTTTCTGCCTAACAACCTGCAGCGCCTGTGGTTGCCTTAAGAGGGTATCGTCGGTCAACAGATTCAATTTACGCAGAAGCTCATAGTCCTTGCCGTTCATTACCATGTTTTGACCAAACGCTAGGAAATATGGTGAAAATCCAGTACTACGATGTACATTTGCTCGTAGAGCTCCACTTATCTCATTTAAGTTCTTGTCCCAATTAGCATGATCAGTTCCGATATAAGCTCGGATAGCAGCTAAAACAGATCTATTCAGTCGTTCGCTGGCATTCGCTTGTGGTGAATAAATCGCGGTGCAAATGTGCAATACCCCAAAACGGGTGAGGAAGGCCTCAAAACAGCCAGACCGAAACTGAGAACCATTATCGGTAAGCACTACTTCCGGTACTCCGAACGTATAAAACAAATAGTTCTCTAAATAGTCGCAAATCCGATTTGATGTAAATTTCTTTAGAGGGAACAAGAAATGAAATTTTGTAAAATGGTCAACAACGATGAGAATACCAATATTTCCGCTTTTCGATCTAGGGTACGGCCCTAAAAGATCCAGATATAACTTTTGGAAAGGTCTTTCCGAAACCATTGGTTTACCCAAAGGTGGTCGTAAAACGATACTTGGACTTTTAGTAGACTTACAAACCGAACAATCTGTAACATACTTTCTTATCTGCGTCACCATTCCAGGCCAAAAGAAATATCTCTTCAATTTTTCTACAAGTTTGCCTGACCCACAATGAGCTGAATCCGGTGAATCGTGTGATCTAAGCATAATAACTTTGGTCAGACCAGATGGAATCCACAATTTCCAAGAATCAAATTCTTGAGCTGCGTCACCTGTAGCATGTTCAGTGCGCTTATACACAAAGTTATCTACCACTTTTAAGTCGGGCAGTTTCGACTGATTTTCCTGAATACGCTGAATCAAGTCCAAATATTCGGATGAGCTGAATTCTTTAGATGTTAGGTCTACGATCGGACCACTTGTGTCAAATTCACAAATCGCTGGTTCATCGCGTCGAGATAGGGTGTCGGCTACGACATTTTGTGAGCCGCCGCGATGTATTATTTCAAACGAAAAACTTTGCAATTTAATAGCCCATCGAGCCAAGCGTCCTGAAAGGTCTTTTTGGTTCATCAACCATTTTAAAGATGCGTGATCTGTGACCACTAGAAATACTTGACCTTCGATGTATGCACGAAACTTACGAATGCCTCTAATTACTGCTAAACATTCAAGTTCAGTCACCGTATAATTGCGTTGAGCTTTCGTTAATTTTTCCGACATATATGCAATAGGTAACTCTATACCTTCTTCATTCTTTTGTGCCAAAACACAACCGAGACCATGCAGACTTGCATCGCATAGCAGAACGAAAGGTTTCGAAAAATTTGGTGTATTTAAAATGGGTGCTGAAGTTAATCTAGCTTTTAATTCTTTGAATGCGTTCTCCGCGCCCTCGTTCCAGTCTAACTCTTTGGTCTTCTTTAAGAGTTCCGTGAGTGGAAAGCTTACAGAGGCGTAGTTTTCTACGAATCGCCTATACCAACCTGAAAGTCCTAAGAATCTCCTTAACTGCTTGACCGTCCTGGGGACAGGGAAATCATTTATGGCGTGTATCTTGCCGGGATCAGTTTTCAATTGCCCATCGCCAATAATAAAACCTAAATATTTAATTTCGCGCATGCAGAATTTTGATTTGCCAATATTAATTGTCAATTTTGCCTTGCGAAGATAACCTGCAATCTCCTGTAAAAGAAGTATGTGCGACTCAAAGTCGT